CTTTCCCGGGCCAGGAGGTCACCTGATTCCTTTGTTCTCCAACCCTTCAGCTCTCACCTTGCAGGGGGGGAAGGGCCCAGGCCATCAGTTGCCAGGAAACAGGGTGTCGCCCATTCTCTGTGTCCAGACCCCTTCACACACCTGCCCTCTAGGGCTCTGCAATGATCATACACCCTTACTCCACCCCCTAGATACTTAAGAACTGCATAGGGGAAACTGAGGCACCCCCCACACTATTCAGAGGAAACATTAAGAACAGTCCCACTTCGTCACACCTGGCTCTGTCTGGGGGTCTGCGCTGGCCCTGGGGGGGGAGCTGTCCTGGCTCTGTCTGGGGTCTGCCCTGGCCCTGGGGGGGGAGCTGCCCTGGCTCTGTCCGGGGGTCTGCCCTGGCCCTGTGGGGGAGCTGGCCTGGCTCTGTCCGGGGGTCCGCGCTGGCCCTGCCCGGGGGTCTGCACTGGCCCTGGGGGGGAGCTGCCCTGGCTCTGTCCGGGGGTCTGCGCTGGCCCTGGGGGGGGAGCTGCCCTGGCTCTGTCCGGGGGTCTGCGCTGGCCCTGGGGGGGGAGCTGCCCTGGCTCTGTCTGGGGTCTGCGCTGGCTCTGTCCAGGGGTCCGTGCTGGCCCTGCGGGGGGGTCTGCGCTGGCCCGGGGGGGAGCTGGCCTGGCCCTGCCCGGGGGTCTGCGCTGGCTCTGTCCAGGGGTCCGTGCTGGCCCTGAGGGGGAGCTGGGCTGGCTCTGTCCGGGGTTCTGCGCTGGCCCGGGGGGGGAGCTGCCCTGGCTCTGTCCGGAGGTCTGCGCTGGCCCTGCGGGGGGTCTGCCCTGGCTCTGTCCGGAGGTCTGCGCTGGCCCTGGGGGGGAGCTGCCCTGGCTCTGTCCGGGGGGTCCGCGCTGGCTGTCCGGGGGTCTGCCCTGGCCCTGCGGCGGGTCTGCCCTGGCTCTGTCCGGGGGCCTGCGCTGGCCCTGGGGGGGAGCCATGCTGGCCCCTGGGTGCCCTCTGACTGGCTGTCTCTGTCCGGGTGTGGCGCAGCTGGCAGAGGGGCGGCTGGAGGCCGGGTACCAGGCAGTGCAGGAGCTGGTGCAGAGCCAGGCGCGGGGTGCGCTGCAGGCCAGGCACCGGGCGGAGCGGCTGCGTGATGAGGCCAAGGCCCTCCTACGGGATGCTCAGGGCAAGCTGCAGCGCCTGACAGGTGAGGAGTGGGGCGGGGGCGCTGCGGGAACAGCCCTGGGCACTGCCCTCGCCGGGCTCCCAGCAGGGGAGGGCTCACCCTGCATTGTGTCTCCCCAGCGCTGGAGGGGTCGTACCAGGAGAACGAGCGGGTGCTGGAGGAGAAGGCGGCCCAGCTTGACGGGCTGGAGGCCAAGGTGAAGGGCATCGTGGGTGCCATCAACCAGCAGATCCAGATCTACAACACCTGCCAGTGACCCCGAGCGCCCACCAGCCTGTCGCCTCCCTCCCCCAACCCGACAGCCCGTCCCCCTGCCCAGCCCCCCTCCATGTCTGCCAGGGCCTGGGCTCCCCTGCATGGCTCCATTCCCAGCACCAGCCCCTCCAGGAGAGCCCTGCCCCCTTGGTATCATCACCGCTGGGGCAGTGCTGAGAACTCCCTCCTGGCACAGCCTCGGCGCGTCCTGGGCCCCTGTCCTGGCAGCCATGGTGCCCTTTCCCACAGCCCAAGGCTCCACTGCTGCCTCCGGCCACGGGCACCAGGACCCTGGCCCAGCGCTAGGCTGGGGGCTGAGGGGGACTCGCGCCCTCCACAGTGGGCAGGGCACAGGGTCTTGCACCCTCTGGCGCTTTGCCCTGGCACGTGGCAGGGGCAGCTTGTGTGTGAATAAAGCCCTTGCCTGGCACTCGCTGCCTCTCCGTGTGGATCATGTGCTGGTGACTGCCGTGCTGCCAGGTGCCAGGCATCTGCTGCCCTGGCATGCCCGCAGGGCCAGCCCTGGGCCTGGCACACACTGCCCCCCGCTCTCATGCAGACCAAGGCAGCCAGCAGATTGCATCCTCCCCTGCTGCCCCAGGCAGCTCGGAGCTGGAGCTGGAGCTGGGCCCGGCCTGGGCACACGGGAGGGGAAGGAACCTGATGGGTTGGAAGCAGAGCTCCAGCTGTGCACCCACCCCAGTCATGCTGGTGCCTGGGGCGACAGCACACTGCACAGAGCCAGCATGGGCAGACGACTGCCCCAGCCAGCCAGTGGGAGCTGCCAGGCCGTGAGGGGAAGGGACAGCCCTTACACCCCATGTCCTCTGTGCCCTCTAGATCCTGTCGTAGCACATCCCCTCTGTCCAGCCCCATAGAGGCCCTGTGCCCACAAACAGCCCTACAGTACAGCCATGCAGCTCATCTAGCCTGACCCCTGCATAGCACAGGCCACCGAGCTTCACCCACCCCCTCCAGGGATCGACCCCCGCCTCTGGCTGAGTCACTGACATCCTCAAATCCAGACTTAAAACCTTCCAGTGAGAATCCACCATTGACACGAACTCAAAACAGCCAGTGCCCTGTGCCCCATGCTGCTGGGGAAGACGTAACTCCCCCAGGGTCTCTGCCAAGCTCACCCAGGGGAAAGTTCCTTCCTGACCCCAGACCTGGCGATTGGTTAGACCCTGAGCACATGGGCAAGACCCAGCAGCCAGCCACCTGGGAGAGAACTGTCTGCAGTAACCCAGAGCCCTCCCCAGCTCGTGTCCCATCTCCGGGCGTTGGGATATTTCCTGCTAGCAGTTGCAGAGCGGCTCCCTGCCATCATAGGCAGCCCCATCACACCATGCCCCTCCAGACACTTCTCAAGCTCAGGCTTGAAGCCAGTTTTCTGCCCCCACTGCGCCCCTCAGGGGCTGCTCCAGAACATCACTCCTCTGATAGCTAGAAACCCTCTCCTAATTTCCAGTGGAGACTCTCGCTCAACTGCAATAACTCCTCTCCCTGCCTGGTGTTATCCCTCGCAAGGATTGCTGGACAGCGAGCAGCTCTCCCCTCACCTGCGTTTGGTCAGGCTAAACAAGCCCAGCTCTTTGAGTCTCCACTCCTGAGGCAGGTTCTCCACCCTGGTGTCATCCTGGCAGCCCTGCTCTGCACTAGTGGGTTCGTGCAGAGCCCGGGGAAGTCGGCTAAGGGATGCACTCACCCTCCTGCCCACTGCTTTGCCACGCACACCTCCCCCGCTGCGAGCTTGGCGGGGGGCTGAGACCCCTTCCCCATCCCACAGGTATTGCAGCTTCTTGGATGGGCGCTTGCTGAACGTGTGACTCCAGTTCCATTAATGGAGCCCTTTCCTTTCCCCGTGCTTTAGGCTCTTGGGATTACCAGGCCCCCCGCAATGGGATGATGTGCCTGGATCACCCCAGCACAACACACCAGCACTTTATGGCAACTTGACATTTCCAAGTCGTTTCCCTGGCTGGCAGGAATTGCCCCCTGCTTCCTCAGCTGGCAGGGACCTGCCCCGGGAGCACGGTCAGCGGTTAACCCTCTGCTCTTCTTTGCCACGAGTAATTGGGGTCAGGCCGTGGTTAACCACTCTGGTCCCATCGGAGTCGCATTAGCACATTCGGGGTGGCACATCGGTGACGCCGTAGCCCTTGACTGGGTTCCTTTGTCTCCCCTGACTTCGGGGCATGGCACCTTGGCAGCATCCAGCTTGCAGTAACAACGCTGTGGGAGCGGGTCTGAGCTGTGAACAGCGCCCGGCAGGGCCAGGGGGCCGAGCGTGCCGCACGCCCGGCAGGGCCCCAGCCCATGGCCCTGGGTACTACAGGAAATGAGCTGGGCCTGCCCTTCAGGAGGCGGTGGGTGACCTGGGCTCTTTGCTGCCTGCCCCCGTGTTGGGGGTTCAGTGCTCTGGCTGACAATGGCAGCCCCCTGCTCCCAGCTGGGACCAGAACTGTAAGTGCCCAGAGACCCTTCATCTGCAGCCTCCGCCTCCCCGGCTCCTCCCAGACCGTCCTGCTGCGCTCGAGTGGCTGGCGCTCGGCCCGGGGCACAGGGCAAGGAGCAGCATGCCCAGCCAGGAACACAAGCTGGAGTTCCTGTGCCGCCCACTGCCCTCGAGCCGCAGGGCACGACCCCAGCTGGGCTCAGGAAGGAGTCTTGCCCCTTTGGCAGGGTGGGACTTTTGTAGGGTGACCAGATGTCCGGATTTTATAGGGACAGTCCCGATTTTGGGTCTTTTCCTCATATAGGCTCCTATTGCCCCCCCCGTCCCAATTTTTCACACTTGCTGTCTGGTCACGCTAGCCTTTTGCGCCTCTTGCTGCAGCTTCAGGCAGTGGCTGCTGGAGCCGTGTCCGCGGCCCATCGGGTGGTTCTGATGGAGCCGTTCCCTGGAGCCGTGTGTGGTGGAGTCCCGGGCTGTGTGCAGTGCCCTGGCCTTCAACCCGCTGCCCGCTGGACCCTCCAGCCCCACCCTTCCACGAGGCCAGGCCCCATAGCCCCGAGCCTGCAGGTGCCAGCCCCCCCCCGCTTCTCCCAGGGCTCCTGCCAGCGTCTCCCGGCCAGCGGCCTGCCGCGCGGGGCTCTCCCCTCGCCTGGAGCAGGGCAGCGGGCCGCAGCCAGGAGCGCTCAGGGGGTCACCTGCGACCCCCAGCCAGCGGAGCCAAGGCCCAAGCTGCCCCGCCCAGCCCTGCTGTGCCCTGCCTTCCCTCGGTCTCTGGGGGTCCCGCTCCACCCCGGCTGGTCCTGTCCCCCTGCGCCCTGCAGGGCATTGGCTGTCCCGGCTGGCGGGGCCTCCTTCCACCTCCGCCAGGCGCCGCCGTGGGGATGCAGCGCGGAGCTGCACAAAGTGCCCAGGGAAACTGAGGCACGCACATGGCTCATAAGACTTACCTGCCCCCTGCGCTGCCGCGCGCCACGCCGGCTCGGAAACCCGGGGCGCGGGAGCCGGGCGGGGGCTGCGGGGGCCGGGGGGGGGTTGCGGGGGGGCCGGGCCGGGCGGGGGGGTTGCGGGGGGCCGGGCCGGGCGGGGGGGTGGCGGGGGGGCCGGGCCGGGGGGGGGGGGGTTGGGGGGGGCCGGGGGGGTGCGGGGGGCCGGGCCGGGCGGGGGGGGGGGGGGGGGGGGGGGGGGGGGGGGGGGGGGGGGGGGGGCGGGGGGGGGGGGGGGGGGGGGGGGGGGGGGGGGGGGGGGGGGGGGGGGGCGGGGGGGGGGCCGGGCGGGGGGGGAGTGGCGGGGGGCCGGGCCGGGGGGGCTGGGGGGGCCGGGCCGGGCCGGGGGGGGCTGAGGGGGGGCCGGGCCGGGCCGGGGGGGTGGGGGGGGGCCGGGGGGGTGGCGGGGGGCGGGGGGGCGCGGGGGCCGGGCCGGGGGGCTGCGGGGGGGGGGTTGCGGGGGGGCCGGGCCGGGCGGGGGGGGTGGCGGGGGGCCGGGGGGGGGGGCGCGTGCGGGGGGGGGGCCGGGCCGGGGGGGGCCGGGCGGGGGGGGGTGGGGGGGCCGCTGCGGAGGGGCCGGGCCGGGGGGGGGGGGGCGTGCGGGGGGGGCCGGGCCGGGCGGGGGGCTGGGGGGGGGCGTTGCGGGGGGGCCGGGCCGGGCGGGGGGAGTGGCGGGGGGCCGGGCCGGGGGGGGGCTGAGGGGGGGCCGGGCCGGGCGGGGGGGTTGCGGGGGGGCCGGGCCGGGCTCCCAGGAGCTCAGAGCGAGCGCGGTGGGTCTCCCCGGGCCCCGCCCCCGCCCCGAGCCAGCCCGCGGTTGGGTCACGGGCCCGCGTGGCCCCGTCGCCATGGCATCACCGTTGCTGTCGTCATGGGGTCGGCGCTGTCACCGTCATGATGTCACACGAACAGCGTCACCAGGGCGTCACTTCCGGGGCCGGCCCCGCTGTCGTCCTCTCACCCCCTCCCCTGTCACGTGGAGCCGGGACCCGGCTTCCGGAAATGCGTCACGGGCTCGGGCCTGTCTCCTGCTGAGTCCGCCCGCGCGGAACTTCGGCTCGAACCAAAACAAACCGCGGAGCCGCCGGGCCGGGGGGTGAGCGCCGGGGGGGGCTGGTCGGGGGGGCGGGGAGCGCTGGGGGGGCTGGTCTGGGAGTGTGGGGGGCGGCTGGCCCGGGTCGGGGGGACTGGTGGGGGGGCAGTGAGTGCTGGGGGGAGCTGACCCAGGTTGGGGGGACTGGTGGGGGGGGCAGGGAGAACTGGTCTCGGGGGGAGATGGGGGCGGGGAGCGCTGGGGGGAGCGGGGCTGGGGGGCACTGGGGGGAGCTGACCTGGGGGGCGGGGAGCGCTGGGGGGGGGCTGACCTGGGGGGCGGGGAGCGCTGGGGGGAGCTGGTCTTGGGGGGCTGGGGGGAGCTGGGCTGGGGGGCGGGGAGCGCTGGGGGGAGCTGACCTGGGGGGGCTGGGGGGGCGGGGAGCTGGTTTGGGGGAGCTGGTTTGGGGGGCTGGGGGGAGCGGGGCTGGGGGGCGGGGAGTGTGGGGGCGGCTGGCCCGGGTGGGGGGGCAGTGAGTGCTGAGGGGAGCTGACCCAGGTTGGGGGGACTGGTGCGGGGGCAGGGAGATTGGTCTCTGGGGGAGATGGGGGGCAGTGAGTGCTGGGGGAGCTGACCCAGGTTGGGGGGACTGGTGGGGGGGGAGGGAGAACTGGTCTCGGGGGAGATGGGGGCGGGAGCGCTGGGGGAGCGGGGCTGGGGGGCACTGGGGGGAGCTGACCTGGGGGGCGGGGAGCGCTGGGGGGGGGCTGACCTGGGGGCGGGGAGCGCTGGGGGGAGCTGGTCTTGGGGGGCTGGGGGGAGCTGGGCTGGGGGGCGGGGAGCGCTGGGGGGAGCTGACCTGGGGGGGCTGGGGGGGCGGGGAGCGCTGGGGGGAGCTGGTTTGGGGGGGCTGGGGGGAGCTGACCTGGGGGGCGGGGAGTGTGGGGGCGGCTGGCCCGGGTGGGGGGGCAGTGAGTGCTGAGGGGAGCTGACCCAGGTTGGGGGGACTGGTGCGGGGGCAGGGAGATTGGTCTCTGGGGGAGATGGGGGGCGGTGAGTGCTGGTGGGAGCTGGCCTGGGTCGGGGGGAGGAGCTGGCAGGGGTCGGGGGGCTGCCCCGAGGGAGATTGTGTTGTCCCCCAAGGGCTCCCCTCCCCATCCCCCTGTGGGCTGCTTCTGTACCTGTCTCCAGTCCCTGGCAGCCATTGCGCTGGGCCCCGCCACCCTGTTCACGGGGCTGTCGGGGGGGCCTAGGCAGGGCCTGGGGCTGGTGCTGGCCCATTTGCTGGGGACACAGTTGCTTCCCTGCTGCTTTTGTCCACCTTGGAGCCTGTTCTGCATCTGAACCAAAGACCAGGGGGCAGGCGGTGTGGGCTGCCAGAGGTTCCAGTGCTGCTCTTGTGAGACTAGGGTGGACTTGCTGCATGCCTGGAGCCTTGGTCCCCGTGGTCGCCCGTCAGTGGCATTGCCTGTGGTCCTGAGGTGGCTGGCAAGGCTCCTGGGGGCACAGGGGGTAGCGCGGACAACCCAGTAGTGCATGTGGGAGGAGGATCCTTCTTGGGACTTCCAAATAAAGACCTCTGAGGAGCAGGCAGGAGGTGGAGACTGAAGTTGATAGGACATGTGCAGGGTAGGCTGTCTGATCCCCAGTGGGGCAAGGAATGGAGAGTACAAAGTGCAGTAGATCAGAGCAGTCAGACTAGAATGGCACCTATGCATGGGGCTGAACAAGTCCGAAGCAGTGCAGGGCCTAGAAGGGTTTTAGTTGGAGAGTTCTGTCAGCTGCAGTCAACTGAAAAGCAAGCTTTGGGCAGCTTCTGTCCTGTGTCCCCAAGGTGTGTGGGGCCTGCTGTAATCTGGGGGAGCCTGTGTCAGCAGGCGGGGGGATAGAGTTCTGGTGGCGGAAACATAGAAAACACCTGTTGGCTCGCCTAGTCCTTCCCTGGTGCCGCCTGGTGCTCCCTACAGCTCATTCTCCAGGGCTTTCTTGGGTCCAGCTTGAAGGGACTTGGATATGGGGCTTTCAGCTACTTCTAGGAGGCAATTCCAGTCTGATCTTCCTACCTCATAGGTGTGTCTAAGGCACTTATCCCTATGGTCCATAAATGCCAGTGTGCAGAAATGGAGCAAAAGGGGCTGGCGTTGCTCCAGGATGTGTCTGAAAAGGGTCCTAGAAGCTAGGAGTAGGCCCAGGCTCTCTGGAGCAGACCAGACCCCAAAGGTGCATGTTCCATTGTCCATGGGTCTTCCAGACAGGCAGCAAAGTGAACATGCTGAGCAAGTGTGAGAGGCAGGCAAGGAGCAGGGTATTGCACTGCCCTCCCCACAGACTTGGTCCAAACGAGCAGGCCAGGTGTAACTCCTTGCAGGCTGAAGGGGTGTCTTGGTGACTTACGCACCATTGAACGTGCACAGAATAAACTGCCAAACCCGGCTGCACTGCTTAGACAAATGCTGGGGTGCAACTGCCAGTCCTCACGTGGGGGTGGGGGTATGGGCATTGCTGTGCTTTCCTTCCTCGTCCCTCATGAGCTGCTGTGGAAGCTCCCGGGTGGGGGTGGCCATCTCCCCTGCAGGACGGGAATACAACTGACTGGCCACTTGGCTGGAGCCCAATCCAGCTCCTCCTGGATTTTTCACATACAGGCCTTGGCCACACTAGGAAAACTGCCAAAAACCTTTGCCACCATTGCTGAGCCTGGTGCTAGGCGCTGTAGTGTAGACGGACCTTGTTCAGCGTGGCTCTAGCTGCCGTGGGGTTGCAGTGGCAGCCAGTGGCCTACCTAGAGCAGGGCTCCCAGCATTCCTGCCTGCTGGAACCGCATGAAAACTCCCTCTCGTGCAGCCGGCTTAGAGTGTTAACGTGACCGGGGCAGGCACTGCCGGGAGGCAGTAGCTTCTGGCTGGGAGTGGCTTGGGCATGGACCAGCAACGATCCCTCGCTCGACCTGGCCTCACTCCGCTCTCCACCATTAGCTGCTGTGCCCAGTTCTGCATTCCCTCCCTCTACCTGTGTCAGGGCTTCTGAAGGGCCTAAGTATGACCCGCCTGCGCTGGGGGGGGACTCAGCTGGCTGCGCCGAGGGCTTGGTGGAGGTTTGATTGCTGGCGCTCAGTTCATCAGCGTGATGATCTGGGCCGTCCTTGGGTTAGAGTGCCTGCAACGTGCGGGGGTGTCGTGTGGAGTCCGCACTTGCTGGCTTAGGCATCTCCAGAGCACGAGTGCTCCAGTCACTAGCTGGGCAGCAGGAAGCCTGCAGCCTTTTTGTCTTTACCTCCGAGACTGGGCTCCCTGTGAACATGTGCAGGCCTGCCAGGAGTGACCAGCAGCTTGCTACCCGACTCACACTGTCAGCTGTTCTCTTGGGCTGCTGCTCTCCCCCTTCCCGCCCCCAGGGACTGGCGCTGAACATGCCACAGGTCGGTCCCCAGCTGCTCCAGACAGCCTGTCCCTGGAGTGGGCCTGTTCTCAGGGACAGCCAAGCTCAGTGCTGGAGAGTGAAAGTGAAACCAGGGTCTGGCAGCCAGAGCCCAGAGAGCCAGGGTGACCTCAGCCAAGACCAGAGTGTGGGCAGGGAGTCTCCTGCTGGAGCGGGATGCATACACGGCCCAGAGGACACCTCACTGCCTGTCCTGGCCGAGGGGTCTCGTCACCGCACCCAGTCGCTGCTCACTGCTGTAACTGAGCAGGGTGTTCCTGGCGAGGGCAGGCTCTCTGCGCATGGGCTGCAGAAGGGGCAAAAGAGACTGGCTCTTGCTGGAGCGAGCGGCTTCCATCCGTTCCACTGGGCTGTCCCAGGAGCAGAGCAATTCTTTCCTTCCTTCACTGTTTTCAGGCTTCAGCCCCCAGTACTTGTGGATCCAGTTTACTTAAATGGCCACTCCTGAAACTGTGCTCTCCTGCCACCATGGCCATGTGCCAGGCGGCCCCACTAAGCTCCGATGGGCGTGCTGAAGTAGTGCCCCTGTTGCTCACACCCCTCACCTCTGGAGACATCTCCACGCCTAGCCAGTGCTCTGGCAGGCTTCTCTGGGGACCACTGTTCCCATGAGGGGCCAGACAGCGTCATGCCTGCTCCCCAGGCTTTACGGACTTGGCACACCCGTGCATCAGGCCCTGCTAGCTCCTCTCAGGAGCACTGACAGGCCCATGTTCTCTGGCATCAAGCAACTGGTTAGACTTTGTTACTCAGGGTCTGAAGAGCATGGGGCGTTTTGTACATCCGAGCCCTGGGTGAAGATAAGCCATCCTCTGGCCAGCCAGCTTGGATTCCACTGGGGCAGGCATCACTGCCACCCGTTAGCTTGGTTGGGTTCTGTCTGCATCACTTTGTGAGTCTGGCTCTGCCCAGCCCAGTCAGCCCTGCCGCTTCGGGGGAAGGTAAATCCCCCACCTTTGTTAGGTTTTCAGCAGTTCATACGTTTTGCTGCCCCTGGGCTGGGGGTGAATAAAGTTGGCTGGGAGGGCGCCTCCCTGTTGGGGGTGGGTAAAATCGGCTAGGAGGGTGCCCCGCCTGCCATTGGGGGTGGGTAAAGTCGGCGGGAGATCCTGCTCTCCATTGGTAGTGAGGCCCTGAGAGCCTAGTCTAGAATGCGACTTTTTCAGCATCTCTGAGTCAGCAGGAAGTCAACTCTTGGGTTCTTGGGCCCAGACCAGGCACTCCGGCTGTGCTGGGGGGATGCCGGCATTCTGGCATGCTGCTCTGGGAAGTACCCTGGCATCCTGTAGGCATGGCTGGGCTTTAAGTTCACAGGGCCTGTGTCATGAGCCTGACTCAGAACCTGTTGCCCATGCCCTTCTCCAGCCCAGCCCCACTGCCACGTCCGTTCACTTGTGTGCTCTTGTCTCCCTAGGTCACTTGTTCCTTGCCAGAGAGTTTGCCCACAAAGAGTCGCCAAGATAGCTGGGCCAGGAAGAAAGCGTCGAACCCCTGACCCAGACTCCATCACTGACCCCGGCGGGCCGTTTGTCTCATCCAAACGGCTGAAAATGTCCAGCAGCACCAATGCCCCAGGCCAGAGGAGAGCGTCCCGGGGGCTGGAGGATGCAACCAACAAGAAGAAGCAGAAGGACCGAGCCAACCAGGAGAGCAAGGAGGGAGAGAGACCTGGTAGCGACCCTAAGAAAGGTAGGGCCCGGGGTGCGACTGTCCCGCTGCTCCGGCTCTCCACGGCCGTCTGCTGTAGGATAAGCAAATTTGACGAAGCGCTTCCACTCGCCAATGTAACATGCTCCAGTGGGCACAAGTCTCTGAATCCTTAATCTGCTTTTCGAGCTGCCACTTGGCGCCATGTGTGAGCGCAGCTCAAACCTGTCTCCAAGCGAGCCAACTCCCTGCAGCTTGGAGCTGGGTCTTTTCTTGGCTGGCCCCTCTTGTAGCCAATACCCTAGGGATGGCCTTCAGGGGGCCTGAGCTGCTTACCTGCGTGGGCTGTGTAGGAAGCTGGATTGGAGCCTGGAGCGGCTGGTCCAGCGTGATGCTCTGCAGCAGGACCTTTAGTTGCCCCTCACCTGCAGTGAGTGTTGCTATGTGATCCAGTCAGGTGAGCCAGGTGCTCTGCTGGGAGGTGACTCACTCCAGTGTCTAAGAACATTGGACTGGCCATGCTGGGTCAGACCCAGGGGCCATCTAGCCCCAGATCGCCTGCGCTGACCCTGCACCCCCAATGCAGCATGCACACAATATGGGAAGGAGGGAGGGGTGTGGATTGAAAGCGGACTAGCTCTCCAGGAATAGCTCCCTGTGTAGACAAGCCCTAAGGCTGCCAAATGTCCAAAAATCCGCAGCTGCGCAGAGTGCAGGCCTACTGGTACTGGACAGGAAACAGCAGAGTAGTCAAGTGCACGGAGCAGCCAGACTGGCTTCTTTGCCGGGTACACACTGAGATGGCACTTCAGTTCTGTGCCTGGTGAAGTATGGTCCTTGTGATTTAACTATGGGTGCGGCCGTGCTGGGATTCGCACTAGAGGAGCACAGTAAATCACTGGGATAACTCTCCATACCAAAGCCCTGTAGGACCTGAGGTGGCAGGGAGATTTGCCCCATGGGAATCCGGCCTTCCTACCTCATAGGGAGGAGGGAAGGTGCAAAGTAACCTCCTCCTTTTCCCGGGGGTTGCCTAGAGCTGTGCTGGCAGCTGTGTGTCCCCAGCGGACCCCTCATGCAGGTGTGACTCGCCAGGTGCTGGGCACAGGTGGGCTGTGACAGCCCCCTGCTGGAATTGTGAATAAGGGCCTTGCTGGGTGTTCTGTGCCCTCCCCGAGTGGCCTAGCGAGGTCGCTGCAGGCTGCCAGCATGCGATAACTGGCACGGAGTGGGGCATGGTGCCGGCCCATGTGGGCTTTGGAGGTTCTCTAGGGGCCTTCGCACTCTACCCTTTTGCTGGGTCCTTCTCCGCAAGCTACTCCAAGACTGCTGGGCTTGCTCGGGCAGGGGAGGGCTTGTAGGTGTGCTGGGCAGACCCCGTTCCTGGGAAAGGCCAGAGCCCAACCCATTACCCCAGATTCCCTTGAGCTGCCATCTGAGGTTCCCATCTTCTGGCCCCTTGGCAAGCTGTTCCTGTCCGTTTGAAGCCCTGCCTTCACTAGCACTCGCCTTCCCTGGTGTATTGTAGGAGCGCTAGTTACCATGACCAGCTGGTCTCCCTTCCAAGGAGCCCTGTGTGCCTGCGGTGGGCACTCTGGAGACCTGTCGCCATCGGGGCTGGTTGGTTTAGCTAGTGTGCACAGGAGCAGCTCTGCTGGAGGGGTGTGAGGAGGGGTGCAGAGCCCCTGATCATCTGGAGTGGCTCTGCAGGTTAGCCCGCTGAGGGGGACTGCTGACACTGGACAGTGTGCGCTTACCAAGTCCTGAGCTGCTGGGGAGTGTGACCCCCGTAGGCTGGCACTTTCCCACCAGCTTGTGACGTGCTCCTCAGGGTGGTGAGTGCTGGGGCAGGTGAGAATGCCCATTGTGCCCGTTCCTGGGAGCTGGAACGGGGAGCAGTCTGGGCTGCTGGGCTCCCGTGGCTCTTTGGGATAGCCACATTCAAACGGTGGCTCACCCCAGCTGATCCAGGGCAGGGAGCCCTCAGACTCTGGCAGCCAGCAGGGTAGAGCCAGCAATGGCTGCTCCTGCTCTAATTTTTAATCACTTCCTCGCCTTTCGAGAGCAAACCCTGGCCGTAAGAAATACATTGGAATGCCTCTCCATGCAGCGTTGAGGTCGTACGTTGAAGGGCTGTGGTCAAAAATGACTGTGGAAGTCGCTTCCCCACTGTGTGCGCACATCCTCTCACTGGCCTTTCCCAGTGCTAGCCTGCCTCAGATACAACTGCCTGGAGTCCAGATATCCCCCTCAAGTACCAAGTGCCTGGGGTGGGCCAGACTCCCTGCCTCACCGGCGTCCCAGCATGCCCTGAGGATGTGGCACTAGCCATTTGGTGTGGTGCAGCATTTGCTCTCACTGAGCAATGAGTCGCTCGTCACCATGGCGGTAGTTACCCCCCCACACACACACACTCTCCCGAGCCCCTTCACACCTGGGCTGAGATCACCAGTGGGGATCCTGGTATCTGGTTCCTCAGCAGGTGTTTCTCTGTAACTTGCTTTGCGTGTTGCACCGCACATTCAGCAGAGTACACCACTGCATGTCCGGCATCTTTGCTGGAGCTGGGCCCCCTATGGGTCAGCAGGGCCTGCAGGACTTGCACCTCTGAATGGAGAGCTCCTTCTCCTCACCCCCTGCAGGGGCCATGCCATCCTGTGTGTATTGCACGGTCCTGGCACAGCAGGGGTGCTGCGAAATAATGTGTGTGACTCTCACCGACAGGGTCCCAAGATGTCTGGAGCTTCATCTTAGAAGCACTCCGGGGTCTGCTGGGGAAGCTCTCTCTGAAATCACTGGGGTGGGGTAGCAGCTAGCTTGCTGAGGCCTCCAGAGGGAATGGGGAATGCTCTAGCTTGGCATGGCTAGAACACATCCACACTGCACCCCATCAGGCAAGGCCCTGGGGTAGGAGCAAAGGCTGCAGGTGCCCGTCCAGAATGGGGGCGGCGGAAAGGCTCTGGGGTCACAGACGAATGTAAGCGAGCAGGCACCCAGCGTGCCGTGCGGCATCCGAAGGGGGGAATGTAGCGTGGAGCAGGGATGCTGCACTGCCTCGTCAGCAGCATTGGTGGGACCTCCACTCAAACACTGTCCACTGCGGGTCCACGTTTGAAAGCGCTATTTCGTGAGAGGCTTGCTGGTTGGAGGAGTGGGGAAGCTGCCTTGCAGGGCGAGTGAGAGGGCAGCCATTGAGAGAAGATGTGCCCAGTCTCTGTACCTGGGGGGGAAGGAGAAGACTTGGTAGCAGAGGGCTCTGTGATTCACTAGTTGGAGTCAAAAGAAAAGGAGGACTTGTGGCACCTTAGAGACTAACCAATTTATTTGAACATAAGCTTTCGTGAGCTACAGCTCACTCCATCAGATGCATACTGTGGAAAAGTTGGAGTCAGTCATTCAGACTGGAAATAGGGGGTCACCATTTGCCAGCAGGGATAATTAACCACTGCCCCAGCTGCTCTGAGTGTGTGGTGCATTCTCTGTCACTTCGGCTGGATGTACCCCTGTCTCGGGGTCCCTGGACGATGCTCTGCAACTGCTCCCCATGAAGCCAGGCAGGACTCTGGGGCAGTCTCCTTTCTGGGAGCAGCCTGTCTGCAGGACACACTCCTCACCCGGCTTCCCCCTTCCTGGGTCTGATCTCGAAGCATTCAGCATCCTCTGCCCCTCCGTGCGCTTCCCACAGCCAGTCCGCCCAGGCGGGGTCCTGGGGAAGCCAGAGGGTCCTGCCCCCCAGCTCCGCAGTCAGACGGGACTCTCAGCCAGCCAGTAAAACAGAAGGTTTATTAGACGACAGGAACATGGTCTAAAACAGAGCTTGTAGGTGCAGAGAACAGGACCCCTCAGCTGGGTCCATTTTGGGGGGCAGTGAGCCAGACAACCCCGTCTGCCCTTCACTCCATGTCTCCAGCCAGCCCCAAACTGAAACTCTCTCCAGCCCCTCCTCCTCTGGGCTTTGTCCCTTTCCCAGGCCAAGGAGGTCACCGGATTCCTTTGTTCTCCAACCCTTTAGCTCTCACCTTGCAGGGGGGAAGGGCCCAGGCCATCAGTTGCCAGGAAACAGGCTGTCGGCCATTCTCTGTGTCCAGACCCCTGCACACACCTGCCCTCCAGGGCTCTGCAAGGATCATACACCAAGCTCATGCTCAAATAAATTGGTTAGTCTCTAAGGTGCCACAAGTACTCCTTTTCTTTTTCCTCACCCCCTAGATTCTTAAGAACTGCCAGGGGAAACTGAGGCACCCCCACACTATTCAGAGGAAAAATTAAGAACAGTCCCACTTCGTCACACCCCCATCACAGTTCCCTGGCCTGGTGCTCTCCCACCACTCTGTAATGGTCCCTGGGACCCTTTCAGTATATCAGCCCTTGGGGGTTGCACACTCTTGCTGAGCTAAACCTCGGAGCTCCCCTCGGTGAGTGCCTTTGCACTGGACCCTGGGGGAGACTTGCACACCCAGAGGGAGCAATGCAACCCCGACTTCTTCAGACTGGAGAGGCTGTCAGCCGGTGCTGTAAAACAGAAGGGTTTGCTAAGGGTACATCTACAGTACGAAATTATTTCGAAATTATTCTATTCGAATTTTTGGAAGCAATTTTATACATTCGGTCTTGTGTCCCCCACTAAAGTGCGTGTATTCGGCAGTGTGTTTCTGAGGCTAGCATTGAATGTTGGAGTGATGCACTCTGGGTAGCTATCCCACAGTTCCCGCCACCCATTGGAATTCTGGGTTAAGCTCCATTTTGCATGATGGAGCAAAAACATTCTCTCAGGTGTTTCTGGATCCCTTCATGAAAGCTACAGCAGACAATCGTTTCCCGCCTTTTTGGCGTGCAGATGCCATACTGCTTTCACCAGACGGTGCAGTACGGTGCACTGCTTTTCTTCTGGTACTATGAATCCACCTCGCATTTCCTCTCGTCTTTCTGTGGAATCTCTACAAGTATCTGCTCTTTCTCTTCCTCGTCGACTGCTTCCGCTGCCAACTGTGCCTCGGCTATCATGAACCGAGCAGCACACCTTCTGCTGCCAATTCTGCTCT